CCTCTTTACAGAGGCATAATTTCTAGGCGTGTATGTAGTGTTTCTTAAAGCAACACAAAAATATTTCGAGGGACAGCTTGACAGAGGGGCAAAGGGCTGAATATTAAAGGTTGGTGCTATCAGGTTGGATAACTGACTCCAGAAGAACAAGTCTGAGTGATGGTTGTATCACCTGAAAAATAGTAGAGGAGATTCAAGTTGGGTGAAGTGAATGGGCCTTAGCACTTCTACCAAGAAGGCGCCAGCCAGGCACCTTGTGTAAGGGTATGCAAAGCTCCACTCTCTCATAAACAGGAACCACAACAGTTATCTCCAGGCCACCTCTCTTCTGCTGACCAGTCCTCCACAGTTGTCCTGCACTGAGGCATTAAATCTGCCACACTGCACAGCAGAGTGACCCCAAATTTCCTTGGTCTGATCTTCATTATCTCTCTAACTTTATGTCCTCAATCTCCCTCTTTGTTATCTCTCTCTCTGCAGTGCTAGTATGTTTATATATGGTGATTTTGTAACACAGCCAGCTTCTGGATTCATTCAGAGCCAAACTGTTCATTCACAGTAACCACTGAGCAGCCTTGGGACAAAAAAGACTTACTATGATGTGCATTGCTATGATGTGATTTTTTTTGTCATCTTTCTTGATACTGTATCTCTACTTCCACTGAAATCAGACCTAAAACTGGTGTTTGCTTCAGATAATATAAATTACTTCCCAAAATACAAATTGAACATAAATTGCCATATAAATTAGCCTAGACCAGTAAAAACAATGTAGTGGTAAGATTCTCCATCTTATTTTCAATCATTTAATTTTACAGCTACTTGTCTGTCTTCCAGCTCAAGCAAACAAAATGCAAGAAGCAGACAGCATAATCAGTAATACTACAGGGTATTAGTTGCAGCAAAGGAGCTGAGCAATCTTAATCGTCATGGTCATCTGCAGCACTAATTATGTTCTCAGTATCACCAAACTACTGTCATGTGAAATTTGCTTTGCTTCTACATGTTGTTATTTATGCACTGGGTGCAGTGGATAGGTATAAAATCTTTCACTTCTCACAAGCAGAGAGGAGGAGGCATTGGCATGGGGACCCTGGAGCAAACGAAGGGCAAAAAATAATTAGCAAAATTTTTGGAGCTAAACAGAGTGTTGGAATGGTGAATTCACTGGAGAAGGGCTAAGCTTGATCATCCCAAGTTGAATGCAGATTCATCCAATGTCAGCAATCAGCAGCAGAAGCTCTGGGAGAGCAGTGGGCCAAGGCAATGAAAAAATGAATAAACAATGGAAAAGAAACTGTGTCTCTCAGATACAGTCTTTGGCATAACAGTAAAAATGAGCTTGCTTCCCACATCTGTTTCTGTTCCATTATTTAGATTTAGATTTACTGGCTGCTATAGTATTTCTATAGATTTTTTTTTTTAAATTGAATGTGATTTTCTTGAAATCTTCAGATTCCCTGTTGCATTTATTCATGAAATCAAAATATGTATCAAGTAAAACATAAGAAATAAAAAAAAATGTCTAGGTACTTCTATAAAGCGTGTCATATAATTAAAATAGTAAGAAGCCGTTTGGAAAAAATTGCTAAAGTAAATCCCTGAGAGGCTGGAAGTACTTGGCTTGATTGATATTCCAAACATACTTATAATGGTCCTGAAAACAAACACCTGCATCTGAACAGTCTCGTTACATGTCAGATAGATCACAGGATCTTTCTTTGAACAGATAAACTTTTTCAATTTTATTTAGTTAATCACAGTAAAAATGGGAAGCATCATTTAGAACTGATGAAATAACATCCCAGAGAAATTGTCTTCCCTGAAGCAAAATCCTGTGAGATTCAACTATTTTGTTTTACAGAAAAAAAAAGTCTCATCACACTTTCAGTAGTTTTTATTTAATTCTGTGAACAGCCTCCAAACCACATGCTGTGAGGTAGTACACATAGATCAATTTCAGTAGCTCATTTACATACATTTGATTTAAATGAAGTGACAAAAACTCTTCAAGGCTGATGTCTTCCATGCTGTGATGTTATGGGAATGTGGGAAAAAAAAAAAAAAGAAAAAAAAAGAAAAAAAATCCAAACGAGAATGTTTCCATTTAGTTTCAACATAGGGGACTTTGCTTGATTCAGGTGAAAAAAGGATTTGAGACTACCTGTAGGATCACATTTCACAGGACATGCTGGGTTGCAAAGACTTGTTAAGCCCACACTTGCCCAGAGCAGAAGTGCCCAACACCCTCACCAGTACCAGAAGAACGAGGTGGAGGTGCAGGACTGGGCACCACACAGTACTGCCATTACCATCGTGGTAACATCAGCAGGTCCTGCTGCTCGCAGAGACACAACCTGGTCAGTCTGTAAAGTTTTGTTCTCCCATATTCTGCCATGTGTTTATATGCTTCTGTTCCACTGAGATCAAGCAACTTATCACAATTCCTTTATATTCATGAAAAGAAACAAAACAAAACAAAACAAAACAAAACAAATTCTTCCAGCAACTCTTCTACAATTGCTATTGATGCCAATGCTGGACATTTGCAACACACATAAATGAGAATCATAGAATCATAGAATCATACCTAAGACATCTTTGGAAGGGACCCCTAGAGGTCATCTAGTCCAACCCCCCTGCAGTGAGCAGGGACATCACTAACTAGATCAGATTGCTCAGAGCCTCATCCAACCCGGTCTTGAATGTTCCCAGGGATGGGGCCTCCACTACCTCTCTGGGCAACCTGTTCCAGTGTTTTACTACCCTCATTGTAAGTGAGGGTGAATGTGTTTCAGATTAAGACAGCCGAACGAGGCCCCAAGACCGTGGGCAATGTTGGGCAAGTCACTTCAGCCCAACATTTCATAATTGTGTTGAGGCTGCTGGACATTTGCAACACACATAAATGAGAAGGAAAGCAGTTTCTCAAAAAACCTAAGACATCTTTGCAAAATATTACTTCACTATACTTAACAGCCGTTTCATTTAAACTCGCTGGAAAGATAAAAAGCCCAGCATCATATTCTGGTTTTGTCTCCTATTAGTCCAGTATTTCTAGCTACATCTTTGAAAAATATTGACAGAGAAGCTAAATAGAATTTTCTGCTAGTCCTAGCTAAAGAGAATATATCCAAAGTGCATCCCCTGGAAGATGCTGATTTACATTTCTGTCACAGCTAAAGCACAGAATAGAATTGGCTCTCTAGGGTATTTCTAGTTTTGGTTTTTTGTCTGGGTTTTTTTTTTTAAATAGGTACAGACTTCCTTTTCTATGTGTGAAATCAATTCAGACATAATTTTAGCAGAAATTATGCAGACACTGTTAATGTGATGTAGATTGCTCAGTTTAAATCACAGAATCTTTGTATGAAATGGAAGTGTTCATTTTGTGTTGCTGAGGAGAAAAGAAGTGTTTGATGAATATTTTGATTCAATATTAATAAGAAGTCTGTAACTATGTCTTTTACAGAGTGAGAAACTGCTTTCATTGCCATACTCTACACTGTGAAAAATTATATCAATACCCTACTCAACAAGATTTCTGATTGAATAGGGCACTGTTCATTTGAATAACACCAATCTAAACTACAAAGTCGTGCTGTTATAACTATGTGAATGTAAATCAGGGGGGAACCATCCTTTGTAGACACAATCTGTGCCTGACAGATTATGTCATTATGGTAGGTAATTTAATTATCCTGTAGAAAGAACTCCTTTAATGGGTACAAGTATCTCCTCTATTAGAAGTGCCATAATTTCAGTGTAACTATACAATCAGAAATTTTATTACATGGGTAAACTCTGAGCTGTGTTTTTAAGTGATAATATTTAAAATAAAAAAATATGTAAATCAAAGAGGAGGCAGAGACACTAATGGAAAATAATTTTACTTGTTACAAAAGAATTCTGTATATGTGATTTTTAACAAAATGAAGGGCTGTTTTGTTTCAAAACATCTCTCCTGAATCTTTTTTTAGTTAATATCTTCATATTTAATACTCAATTAACTTAGTTAACACCACTCTGAAACTGTTTTCCTATGGAATAAAAACTCCAACACCTGCGGTTAAATCTCTCTCCTTTCTATGGAAGTTACTGTCTTTTTGGGGGGGGCAGTGAAGTTACTGGGAAGCGTTTTCTCTCCATTTTTTGTTCACATTTTAAATAAATATTTTGGCCTAATTCTGTTCTTACTTACATAGAAGTAAATTAGAAATGTACAAAATACTAACAGAAAAATTCTTCTGAACATGTTTTTACATTTATTCCCTGTTTATAGAGATAATCTCTTTTCTCACTGTACCTCCAGATAACCTCCATCCTATCACTTCACCCTCTTCAACAAGAATTGGTGTTTACTATGACATTTAAAATATCAGCATTTCATTTCTCCTGTACATGCCCGCTTTATCACCTTCAGTAAGTGCACACAATTAGGGACAGATTTTCTAAGGAACAGCTTGATAACAAAGGGAATCATAACGAGAATCTTAGTACTGGGACAGAGAATGAGTGACTTTAACCTGAAAAACTTCAGGTTTCATGCTAGCTATTCTAATTAGTACCTGACTAAAATTAACTAGAACTCTGTGTGTGCAGGTTGGCACAGCCAGCCATGAAAGCAGGAATAAGACGTGTGTGAACCCATCCAAGGGATGGGGAACGGGCAACCCAGCCAAAGTGACTGCAACAGGAGGTGGGGAGACACTCTGTGTATGGACTCACCATAGGCTTTAGCTCCATAAAGGCAGACTTTAGCTCCAGATTCAGATATTTTAATTTAGTTGTTTGCAAGATTGGTATCCACATACGGGCGATATGTGGATATATTCCCTTACAGTCAGTGGCTAGTCTAGTGTACCCTAGAGTGATGCTCAGCTGACAAAAGATAGGTGTGTTTGCTGGGAGGAGCTAAATAGCATCTTAGTGCATCAATCAGCTGCCTAAACATGGGTGCCTGCTGTCAACTAAGACCCCATCAGTTATGCCCAACATCTGATGGATGGGCTGGTGGATATGACACAAGACCTATAGCAATCTGCTTCCTCTTGGAGTTGCAGCTGGGGACATGAAGGGATACCTTACAGCACCACCTCAAATAACACTAGGTAACTCTGTTTAGGCAACTGGTTCCCCTTTTCCCCTTCCCAACTTTGAGATTTAAAATGACTCTTGCCAAAGCTGGGCTATCTTATATTTTAATGGCTATTCTGAAAAGACATACCAATGGAATTAATAGTTTATAGGGTTAGGTACATGCTTCTCATTCATTTCTAATGATTGTTTGGTAGGAACATCTTCAAAAAAATAAGACACAGCAGCCAGTCTCTAACAGACATGTTTTTCCCTCACTTTACAGCTACCTCCGGCTGGTAGGAGAATACTGAAAATTTAAAGTTGTCTTTCAGACTTGAAGCAGAGTAGCAGGTCTCAAGGAAAAATTCTTCCAGTCAGTTGACAGCTTCTAACTCTTCAAGCTGGGAACAGCTGGAGAATGACAACCAGCTAGGCGTTATCATAAAAACAGTGATATCAAAGCTCAGGTTTATTTCTAAGGGAAGGAGATAGCATCTAGGGACTTGGGCTAGCATATTCATCTACCCTCTTTTCACTTTTTGCACCTGATGAGGTGAGTAGATAACATTGTCATTTGAAACATAAAGCAAAAACAGTGCACTGTAAATCATATCAAAAGATCTTGTTTCGTTTGTCATTTCTGGCCAGGCAGTTGACATCATTGGACTAATTCCCAGAAGCATTTCATTGGTGGAATTAATAATAAATTTAGAAAAGATTGTAAGGTTTTCAGGGACAGAACCCAATACAATTAGACTAGTATTGTGTGCAGTTCTGGGCCCTGCAATTTAAGAAGGCTGTGAAGATCCTTGTATGCGTCCAGAGCAGCGCAACAAAGCTGGTGCAAGGGCTGGCAGGCATGTCCTGTGAGGGGCGGCTGGGGACTTTGCGTTTGTCTAGCTTGGAGAAAGGGAAACAGAGGGGCAACCTCCTTGCTCTCTGCAGCTTCCTGAGGAGGGGATGTGTAGAGGGAGGTGCTGATCTCTTCTCCCTGGGATCCAGTGACAGGACCTGTTGAAATGGCTCGAAACTATGTCAGGGAAGGTTCAGACTTGACATAAGGAAACATTTCTTTACTGAAAATGTTGTCAACCACTGGAACAGGCTTCCTAGAGAGGTGGTCAATGCCCCAAGCCTGTCAATGTTTAAGAGGCCTTTGGGCAGCATTAATTGCATGCTTTGGCTTTTGGTCAGGCAGTTGGTCTAGATGATCATTGTGGGTCCCTTTCAACTGAACTGTTCTATTCTAGTCTATTCTACAGATTCAGCTGCCTCACCCAGCCTTCAGTGCAGCAGTAACTGCTTACAGCAGGGATCTTCAGCAACCAGTGGGGCAGGAGTTAGCAGTTCAGCTAAGCAGTGGCAAAGTTCAAGGGAAATGGCAGGGATTAACTGACACAAGAAAGTTACACATTTTTCGGGTAGGTCACTGGAGCGCCTCTTCCACATATGAAAAATGATTTGCCACCCAGTTAGAATTTTTTATATTCTGTGTTGGATTTTCTCTAAGCCTCTCCTGTCAGCATCCTCGTTCCACTTTGTGCAAGGAAATTGCACACACCCAGAGAAAGTCGCGTAGCCCAGTGGCTGGCCATCCGTCTGCGAGCAGGAGATAACACAGTCCCTGTTTACCCACTGCTGTATCCCACTGGCAGCTCATCGTCACTCTGGCAACAACTGCCATCAGATCACTTGCTGCCTCTCATGGCACCAATTGATGAGCAAAGGTTTATGCTTTGCAACTTTGCAATCTGTACTTTAATGTCTTATTTAAAACCACTTTTAGGTTACATATATGATTAAAAGCAATAAAGAAGCTTGTAATAATTTTCTATTATTTTTTAAAGTGTTGAAGGTATTTGAAGGATCTAACTTCAAAGCTAATATGTTACTGAGGTAAATACAGTTTTGTAATTTCAGAACTCTGTTTCTGCTTATCTGGAACTAGTTTTCTGCACAGTTACATATATAAAAATAATTATTTTGGCTGCTTTTCTGTGACATGTACAATGAATCAAAATGGGAAAGGAAGAAAGAAAGGAAGGAAGAAAGAAAGGAAGAAAGAAAGAAAGGAAGGAAGAAAGAAAGGAAGGAAGAAAGAAAGGAAGGAAGAAAGAAAGGAAGGAAGAAAGAAAGGAAGGAAGAAAGAAAGGAAGGAAGAAAGAAAGGAAGGAAGAAAGAAAGGAAGGAAGAAAGAAAGGAAGGAAGAAAGAAAGGAAGGAAGAAAGAAAGGAAGGAAGAAAGAAAGGAAGGAAGAAAGAAAGGAAGGAAGAAAGAAAGGAAGGAAGAAAGAAAGGAAGGAAGAAAGAAAGGAAGGAAGAAAGAAAGGAAGGAAGAAAGAAAGGAAGGAAGAAAGGAAGGAAGGAAGAAAGAAAGGAAGGAAGAAAGAAAGGAAGGAAGAAAGAAAGGAAGAAAGGAAGAAAGGAAGAAAGGAAGAAAGGAAGAAAGGAAGAAAGGAAGAAAGGAAGGAAGGAAGGAAGGAAGGAAGGAAGGAAGGAAGGAAGGAAGGAAGGAAGGAAGGAAGGAAGGAAGGAAGAAAGAAAGAAAGAAAGAAAGAAAGAAAGAAAGAAAGAAAGAAAGAAAGAAAGAAAGAAAGAAAGAAAGAAAGAAAGACGCTATGAGCAGAACCTCACAGAAATAGAGGTAGCCTGAAATGTCATAATTTTTTATTTATTCCTAATTCTGATGTTAGTATAAATTGCCCCAGTAGATCACTGCGTTGTTCAGGACTTCATAAACCCTGATCCTAATGTTTAACCTAGTTTTTACCCATTGCAGTTTAACATTAAAACCTCTCCTCTTCTGCTTACTTGAGTCATAATCAGAGATAATTCATTCTTGAGTTAGTGATGACAACTGCAGGTAAGCATCTTTTCTTTATGATTATGTTGCTAGTTAAAACACCTTATTTTTTAACCTTGTCACATAAATTATGACTTTCAAGTGCTTCGGGGGTTTGATGTTCTCCTATGAATTTTGAATCATTAATTAGTTTACCTTAAAACATAGTTTTAAAATGGACAATGGATGTTTTGTGGTGCCAAAGTCGTAAGAACCTTAGTAAATATGGTAATAATGATTTTGCACTGTATAAACGGTCAAAAAGAAAAAGCAAAATACCACCAAAAAACCTTAAGAGAAGCATGGCTCATACAAGACAGGATATAATTCACTCTAGCACATTTAGCAATCATTGTCACTTGAAGAAATAGATTATCATCAGACTACATAACAGGCAGAAGGTGAAACAATATTTCTTTTCTCTTTGCCCTGATACAAACCCATAACAGATACAAGTCCATTCACAAACTGAAATTAGGAGGCTCGATTTAATCCTTTGCAATATCAAGTGGCAGATAAATTATATCCCATCTGTCGCTCCTTCAGGGGTCCTTCTTACTGTGTCATGGTTCAGGCAACACCAATATTCTCAGAATCAGTGATCAGGTATTGCTCAGTCCTGGAGATTTCAGAGCTCCTACTGGGTGATTTGAGGAAAGTATTACATGAATTAACACCACTTCACAGGGGAAAAAGCTAGACACAGAAAAATAAACAAACTCCAAAACAGCCTGCTAGTTTTCATTTCTCAAAATCAGCTGCCTGTACAGGATGTCATCCATGATTGGTATGAGGCCAATTTCATATGTATGCTTTCAGCTAGCCAAAATAAGTACAAATGCCGCTGTGATTTCAGAGGAGTGCATAGCCCCTGCGAGTCCATACCTCCCACCTCAACACGTGCCGAGGTTCAGCACCACGCAGGCAGTGTGTGACACACAGTGTGCTGGCCTGCACCTTTCTTCTGTGCCTCTGAGGAGCTTTGAGATGGCCATCTGCTTTTACCATCAATTTCAGAAATCTCCCTTATGATCTAGTTGAGCTGTCAGTGTTTTCCTTGGACTTTATCAAGACCTGTAAGCTCTTTGGAGTCACCTGGGAGAAGCCAAGCTTAGGTGCACAACCCTCAAATCTGTTTGCCTAAGGATGACTGCAGCCACCATCACCTGGTTTGGTGGGACCAGCAGTACTCCAGGTTGCTCTCAGCAAGCATGGGGGGTGCTATGCACCTGTGGTGGACTGACCTTAGCTGGCTGCCAGGTGCCCACCAAGCCACTCTCACTCCCCCTCCTCAAAAGGACAGGGAGAGAAAATAAGAGGAAAAGCTCGTGGATCAAGATAAGGACAGGAAAGGTCACTCACCATTAACCAACACCAACAAAACAGACTGAGCTCGGGGAAAATTAATTTAATTTACTGCCAATTAGTTGTAACAGAGTAGGATAGTGAGAAATAAAAATAAAACTAAAACCACCTTCGCCTCCACCCACTCTTCTTCCATTGGGGGAAGAAAGGATGGAGAGCAGCCCTGCTGAGAGGGACTTGGGGGTGCTGGTGGATGAAAAGCTGGACATGAGCCAGGAATGTGCGCTGGCAGCCCAGAAGGCCAACCGTACCCTGGGCTGCATCAAGAGAAGTGTGGCCAGCAGGTCGAGGGGGGTGATTCTGCCCCTCTACTCTGCTCTGGTGAGGCCGCACCTGGAGTGCTGCATCCAGCTCTGGAGCCCTCAGCACAAGAAGGACATGGAAGTGTTGGAGCGGGTCCAGAGGAGGGCCACAAAAATGATCTGAGGCTGGAGCACCTCTCCTATGAGGACAGGCTGAGACAGTTGGGCTTGTTCAGCCTGGAGAAGAGAAGGCTGAGGGGAGACCTGATTGCAGCCTTCCAGTACTTAAAGGGGGCCTGTAGGAAAGATGGGTAAAATCTTTTGAGTAGGGCCAGCTGTGACAGGACAAGGGGTGATGGTTTTAAACTGAAGCAGGGTAGGTTTAGACTGGATCTAAGGAATAAACTCTTTACAATGAGGGTGGTGAAACAATGGAACAGGTTGCCCAGAGAGGTGGTGGAGGCCCCATCCCTGGAAGCATTC